AGCCGAAGCAGCCGCGGGGGCCCGGGGCGATGCTGGCTCGCTGCAGCCGGGACACCACGCCGATGCTGGGGGGGACGCTGCCGCAGCGCCGGGCCAGCCCCCGCAGCGCCTCTCGGCCCAGCGAGGACACGGGCTGCCCCTCCAGCTCCAGCACTTCGTCCCCCGGGCGCAGCCCCGCCAGCGCCGCGCTGCTGCCCTCCTGCACCCACAGGATGTAGCACGGCCCCGAGCCGCTTATCCCGAACCCGAAGGACTCGGGCCAGCCCTGGTTGGTTGCCGGCATGGCTGCGACTGGAAAAGAAGGAGGGAAAGAGGAAAAGAAAGGAGTTGTGGTGGCTTTCCCATTCTTAGGGGTCGTTCCTGTAGATGCCGTGTGGAGCCCATCGGGTGCGGGGTTACAGCGTGTGCTGTGTCCCCCTCGCTGTGGGAAGAAATGCCCCAAGATCCTGTATTCCCTCTAGATTTCCCTAAAATGACAGCTTTTACTCTATCTGGCTGCTGGTGGGGCCATGGAGGAGGCCACGTTGGCTGGGAAGGTTGGGGCTACACGTGGCACTCGGATGTGACCTGGCACAGCCCTGGTGTCACCTGGGGCACCCACCGACCCCCTTCCCCAGGAGCCTCATTTAGGCATCTTGTATTTATTTGTCCATCAAAATGATTAGTTCATTTCTCTGACATGTTCCATTAATGAATAGATGATCCAAGGACTTAAACCAGCTTGATTTTAACCAGCCCTCCTCGACACTCAGTATTTTAGTTGTTTGCAACTAGAAAACTACTGTAAATCAGAATTTTCCAGATCCTCTCATCTCTCCCAGCACCATTTCTCTGTGCCCTCTCGGTCCGTGTGTGAGCTGTCCGGACAGCAGCATCCCCAAACGGCAGGATGATGGTTTCCAGCAGGACTTGTTTGTGGCTCACGTGAAGGGTTTGGACTGGCTCCACGGATGCCCGAGGAGAATGGGGCACAGCAGCCCTGAACATCTGCAGGAGCTGCCTTTGCCCAAGGAGAGCCCGTGCAGCTGATGGGCACAGTGCACTCAGATGCCCTTTCCAAGCTGTGCTGCCCGGATGACGCTGCCGTGGTCCCTTCCAGCCCTCCCTTTCCGTGGCTCTGTGGTGTGGGAGTGCCTGCACTGCCCGTGACACTCACTAGGGTAATTCGCACGGGGTTTTCCTCTGCACTTCATCTCAGCTGTCTGCGAAGATGCATTTTACCCCCGTGTTTATCCCATCTGCGTCACTGAACACACATTAAGCACTTACAAAAATGAAACTCGGACAATTTTACCTGGGCCAATCATCCTACAGAGACCATGAGGCTCAGAGGGGAAGAGCTGAGGGTGAAGCTCGGGGCAAGCCTGGCAGCAGCGGGATGAAACCCATCTGTGCCCAACCCGCATCCCCAGGGCTGCTGAGCGCCAGTTCTGACAGCTCCAGCAGGAGCCCAGTAAGCACCGGGCCGGTGCCAGCGCGGCTGCTGCGGGCTGTGCTGCCGGAACAGATCGGTGTGAGCTGCACCCTGCACTCACCGCCCCGGGCTCCAGCACTTACAGAAGTCCGTGGCCATCCTGGGGCTCTCAGCGGCGGCGGCTCTGTCCCACCGAGGGCTCGCAGCTCTCCTGCCTCTCCATCACCCCTGGGAGCGCTTCCCGTGGACCCGCAGCGCTCCTGGGAGCATCGTCCCGGCTGCCCCGTCCTCGCTGAGCCCCCGGCGCTGCGGCCGCTCCGGTGCTGCCGTGGCACCGGGACAGAGCGGGCAGGGGGTGGCCGCCCCTTCCCGGCCTCCTCACGGCAGCCCTGCGCCCTTCCAGCCGCTCCAGCCCAGCGCCACACACGCACTGAGCTCTTTCTGGCCTTTTCCTTTCCTAATTAACTTTATTTCCATCGCACGGAGGAGCGCGGGCAGACTAATTGCCGTGCTCGTCCTGGCTGAGCCTGGCGCTGACCTGAGCCTGCAGATCTGGGGGGAATTAGGAGCTGGAAGGAGGGAAAACAGATTAGTGCCCGTGGAGGGAAATCCTTCACCCACAGGGCAAATGCGAGGCCACAGCGCCGTGCGGAGCAGGGGGACAGCGCCGGGGGCGCCTGGGCCAGCCGGGCCCTCGGCACAGGTGGGTGAGACACCGAGGTTTGGGGACCACGCGTGGTTTGCTGCAGCGATTTGGGGGTCGAGGGCTTTGGGGCTCCCCAGGAGAGCTGTCCCCAGCCAGGCTGCTCCGTGTGTGGGGTCCTGGCAGGGGGAGCAGCCGGGTCCTGTTTGGCCACAGAGCCCCCCACGCTGGCACCCACTGTCCCTTAAGCTGCTATTTCTGGTTTTCTCCCCGGCTTCCTCGGCACTGAGGGATCCCAGGGCTTAGCACGCTAAGAGGTTTTAGGGAATTACACGTCCTGCTGCGGCACCGGCGGGAGGGGCGTCTGCATCTCTCCATGGAGCAAGCCGCGATCAGCCTCCCTCGGCTCCGGCACCGGCCCTGCTGCCCGCAGGGATGGATGGGCTGGGAAAACCTCCCTGGCACAGCTGGCACAGCTGGCACGGGGCTGGGCACAGAGAGAGCTGCGGGCTCTGCCTCCTGCTCGGGACCGCTGTGGTCATGTCACTGCTTCAGGGGATTGAAACCCCCTTCTGCTCCTCCTGTCCTCTGCAGCTCCTTTCTGGCAGGTTCTCCTGCACAAATCTCCTTCTGAGCAGCAGTCCTGGGCCTTTGGGGCATCTGTCCTCCCGTGCTGACACTGACACAGCTCCTACAAGCTCAGGCATCTCTGTTACTATTCCCTGCCCAGTCAAAACTGCAATTAATTCCCTTTTTTTGTCGTTGTTCGGCCAGTGAGGTAATTGCTTCTTTTCCCTCCATTTTTAACTGACTTGAGCACTTTAAACACTGACAGCGAATTTTAATCCTTGAAAGAGCTGAGTTCTGGGATCCCAAGTGAATGGATGTGGCTTCCATTAAGACCTTCTGCCAGACTCTGACCAGATGAGACTTTCTAAGTGATTTTCACAGTGCTTGGATTGAATGAGCTTCATCCCTCTGAGCCTCAGCCCCTGTCCAGCTGTTTGCTGGCTGGCTGTCCTTGAGCACAGCCTGTCAGGGCACCGAGGGTGGGCCAGCTCCCCTGCCAGTCCCAGTGTGGTTGCCCTCCCTGCAGCTCCTGGCCTGGCGGTGGCACACACAGACCCTGCCTGTCCCCCACAGATTAACCCCCTCGTGCCCACGCCAGCCCCTTCTGTGCCACCAGGCTTGCCAGGTGACATCCAGGGACCCAAGCCAAGCTGTTTCTGTACCTGCAGAAATTCTGCTGGCTCTGTAGGACGGGGGAAATGGCTTTTTCCCTCCATCCTCCATCAGGACCCAAGAGCCTTGAGCTGCACTCCAATTCAGCTGTGCCCTGGGAATATTTTGGCTGCATTTCTCCCTCTCATGTCCTGTTTGGTGCACTGGGCTTACCAAGGGAAAAAAAAGAGACTCTTCCTGAAACTCAAGCTCCTCTCCTGCCTCCCACCAAGACGATTCACCTGCTCTTTGGCCGAAGCCCCTGGAGCATCCCTGGAAGGCTTACCTGTGCTGTCCGAGCTGCAGGCAGCGGCACAGCGGGACCCGGAGCTGGGAAAACCATCCCAGCAGTTCGGGAGCCTGGGGACCGGCGGCCGCCCCCGGACGGGTTTCTCTGGCAAGTTCCAGGCAGGCCCCGTAACCCAATCGGCCCCGGCGGTTTCAGTTGTCACACAACAGCTCGGAGGGCCGGGCTGAGCTCTGCATCCCGCGTGTTCCGCCTCAGCCCGGCCCCGGTGGGAGCCCCGCTCACCTGGGACACGGTGGCATCGGGGCTACCGGGGAATGTCGCGCTCACAGCTCTGGGAAAGCCCGGGAATTCTGCTTTAGGGACTTCACCAAAGGCCACAAGCCCGCAGGAATTTCTGGTGGTTGGCACAGGACGGGCAGGAGCAGCGGGAGGACGGGGGCAGCGCATCCGCCCCGCGGGGCTCGCACGGTACCGATCCGCCGGGGCCGCGGCAGCGCCGGGGTTCGCGGGCCGATTGCACGGGTGGTTTTAGGGCTTTAGCGCTGTCCCCGTTCCCCGCCGGGACGGAGGCGCTGCCGGGGCCGCCGGGGCGCCGGAGGGCGCTGGAAGCGCCGCGAACCCCGAGCGGCGCCGCTTCCGCCGGGCCGCGGCTGCTCCGGGCCGGCCCCGCTGAGCCCCGGGGCTGCAGCGCAGCCGGGAAGGGAACGGGGCTGGGGAGGGGCTCAGCCTGGAGCAAAGGAGGAGCCCCAGGGATCCTTTCCCTCTCTGGAATTCCCTGCCGGGAGGAGGCGGCCGGAGAGCTCGGGCTGTGCTTCGGGAACAGGGGCAGGAGCAGAGGGAGCGGCCCCAGGGCAGCTCAGGGTGGGCACCCGCAGGAGTTTCCCCGTGGAAAGGGGGAATTGGAACTGCCCTGGGAGGGTTGCAGTGCCCGTCCCCAGGGCAGCTCAGGGTGGGCACAGCAGGAGTTTCCCCGTGGAAAGGGGGCTCGGGAATTGGAACTGCCCTGGGAGGGTTGCAGTGCCCGTCCCTGGAGGTGTCCCCTGGAGGTGGCACTGAGAGCTCTGGGCTGGGGACAAGGTGGGCATCGGGCACAGCTGGGACTCCATAGGCTGGGAGGTTTTTCCAGCCTAAAGGATTTGGGGATTCTGTGTTTCTGCCCTCGCAGAGACACATAAAGCACTGCCCTCAGTGCAGGCTGCTGCTGGAGGGGCTGCTCCATCCCTGGGCTCAGGGAATGCCCGGCTCTGCTGCAGGACTGGCACCCAGGGGTCCCACAGCCGCTCCTGTCCATTCCAGGGCTCGGGATGGGTCCCACAGCCGCTCCTGTCCATTCCAGGGCTGGGGATGGGTCCCTCAGCCGCTCCTCTCCATTCCAGGGCTCGGGATGGGTCCCACAGCCGCTCCTCTCCGTTCCAGGGCTCGGGATGGGTCCCACAGCCGCTCCTCTCCGTTCCAGGGCTCGGGATGGGTCCCACAGCCGCTCCTCTCCGTTGCAGGGCTGGGGATGGGTCCCACAGCCGCTCCTCTCCATTGCAGGGCTCGGGATGGGTCCCACAGCCGCTCCTCTCCGTTCCAGGGCTCGGGAAGGGTCCCACAGCCGCTCCTCTCCGTTCCAGGGCTCGGGATGGATTTCCTGACGCTGTTCCTGCTGTACCTGTGCTCCGTGCTGGCCGTCGCTGCCCTGCTGTGCCTCTGCTCGGGAAGGCAGGAGAGTTTCCTCACCAGGAGCATCACCAGGGCCAGCCAGGTACAGCACTGCGCTTCCAGGCAGGGAATGAGCAGCTGCCCTGCTGGTAATCTGCCCTGCTTTGCTGAGCTAAAATTAGTGCAACTGCTGTATTTGTTCTCAAGAAAAAACCAACCCGGTGTGTGTGGTCAGAGTGATAACATATAATTTATCTCATCCTGTTTTGATGTCTGCTCTCAAGGAGGTGAGATAGGAAGTAGAAATACACTTCCTCTGAGATGGTTAAATCCTGCCCAAGCAGCTCGTAAAAATCATTTGGGTGTCCCAGCCCTGCCTGTGCCTGTCTGGGGTGAGGGTGGAGTTTCTCACCATGCCAGAAGTGCCTTCTTCACTAACACCACAACACAACTCAGGAAAATGCAATAAGAATCGGGCCCCAGGAATTTGCAGTTCTGTGGTGTTGCTACTGTCATCGAGAGGAAAAAGGTGGGGGAGGTTTGAGGATTAAAATAGGGAGAGAATTATAAGTGGTGGCAGATATTTGAGGGAAAGCTCTTTAATGTGTGTACTAATGCTGCAGGCTCTTGTTCACTAAGAAAGAAGCAGGAATGAAGAGCTTTAAAAGAGGATTAAGAATTGGCATTTTATTGTAAAAATGGGGAATTGGGAAAGCACCAGTTCATTTTTCTGTCTGTTGGGCAGAAAAGGAAAAGGAATTAATGGAAAAGGAAAAAAAATGAATGAAAAGGAAAAAAAAAAGCTGTAATACTTCTGGAAAGTAAAGGATGAGAAAATTATCACTTAAATTGTAAATTATGTTTAATGCTGTTCACAGGAGTTCAGACAGACTTTTTTTATTACTGGTATTATACTTCCTTTTGGTTTATAGACACACTGTGCAGAGAAATTGATTTTTTTCCCCCATATCTTAATAGCTGCTGCTATGGAGTGTTTAAACAGCATCAATTAAATTACTGCTGTGGTATGAAGCCATTGTCTGGAGGAATCCAATCAATACTTGTGCCTGGGAAATAAATACATGTGAATATAATCAATATTTCACCTGGGATATAAATACAGGCAATGCTAAATGTAAGGTCACCATAGTAGATAAGTTATTATAAGACAAGGAGCAATAGAATGCAAACCCCAGAATATCAGAAGGGTCTGAAGCTCTTAGAGAGCATCCAGGGGATGGACATGGGGTGGTGAAGGGCCTGGAGGGGCCATGGAGGAGCAGCTGAGGGCACCTGGCTTTAGGCTGCAGAGTGCTGAGGTTTCCTGCAGGTTCTTTTCTGCTGGGTTGTGTTTCCTCTTACAGCACTTGGAAAATATCTTCTTTTGCAAACACTCATCCCTCAAACCGCCGAGCTGAGACGCACCAGTTCACACCAAAATATTTAGCATCTTCTCAGCTCCACATATGCTTTTTGCCTCCTGGTCTTTCACTTCTGAGGCAAGAAGCTCTCACTGCATATTTTCCCTCGGTGTCAGCTCGAAATAGGCGCAGCCTCTCTAATTGCTGTGTTGCTATAGAGATGTGTCAGCTCAGAGCAGGCAATTCCTGCTACAGAGATCTGTCAGAGCAGGCAATTCCTGCTACAGAGATCTGACAGCTCAGAGCAGGCAATTCCTGCTATAGAGATCTGACAGAGCAGGCAATTCCTGCTATAGAGATCTGTCAGCTCAGAGCAGACAATTCCTGCTATAGAGATCTGACAGCTCAGAGCAGGCAATTCTGCTATAGAAATCTGACAGCTCAGAGCAGGCAATTCCTGCTATAGAGATCTGTCAGAGTAGGCAATTCCTGTTACAGAGATCTGACAGCTCAGAGCAGACAATTCCTGTTACAGAGATCTGACAGCTCAGAGCAGGCAATTCCTGCTATAGAGATCTGACAGAGCAGGCAATTCCTGCTATAGAGATCTGTCAGCTCAGAGCAGGCAATTCCTGCTATAGAGATCTGACAGAGCAGGCAATTCTGCTATAGAGATCTGACAGCTCAGAGCAGGCAATTCCTGCTATAGAGATCTGACAGCTCAGAGCAGGCAATTCCTGTTACAGAGATCTGACAGCTCAGAGCAGGCAATTCCTGTTACAGAGATCTGACAGCTCAGAGCAGGCAATTCCTGCTATAGAGATCTGTCAGAGCAGGCAATTCCTGTTAGAGAGATCTGACAGCTCAGAGCAGACAATTCCTGCTACAGAGATCCGACAGCTCAGAGCAGGCAATTCCTGCCATAGAGATCTGTCAGAGCAGGCAATTCCTGTTACAGAGATCTGTCAGAGCAGGCAATTCCTGCTACAGAGATCTGTCAGAGCAGGCAATTCCTGCTATAGAGATCTGTCAGAGCAGGCAATTCCTGGTATAGAGATCTGTCAGAGCAGGCAATTCCTGTTACAGAGATCTGTCAGCTCAGAGCAGGCAATTCCTCAGGCACAGCCCTGCCTGGGAGACTCACTCCATGGGCAGGGGCAGCTCCTCCTTCAGCTGTGCTTGAAAGGACAATTAGACACGGAGCCATGGGGCTGGAGCTGCACAAACTGCATTTTGGGGGTTTGGCTGGCTCGTGGGGTTTTTTTCCCTCTCTTTTCTGGAGGCCACAAGCTTTATCCCTTTGCTTATCTCCCCCTGATCTGTCAGATGGGCTGATGGAGCATATTGTAGCTGGGGAATTGCTCAGTTCTATCCCCTGCTTAACCCAGCCCCACCCCACACCCAGCCTAAGCTCCTTAGAACTTTCACACATTAACCCAGATATGTTTGTTTGGGCCTGGGGGGCTCCCAGGAGTGCAGAACCTCAGTCCCCTGTGGAAACCCCAGCAGCATTCCTGCCTCTCTTCCTTCTTCATGCAAAGGGGGCTCAGGCACGGGAACTGCCCAGGGAGGTTTGGGGTCCCCATCCCTGGAGGTGGCACTCAGAGCTCTGGGCTGGCACAAGGTGGGGATTGGGCACAGGTTGGACTCCAGGAGCTTGAAGGGCTTGCCCAGCATTCTGTGACTCTGTGGGTTATGGCTGGGCTTCACCTCTTGAAGGTCTGTCCCACCTTTGATTCTGTGGTGAGAAGCTCCTGAAAAGGAGCCTCCTCCCCAGTGCTGGGGCTGTGCAGGTCCAGAGCTGAGGGATGAGGGACTTTGTCTTCAATCTGAGCTGGCCCCGAGGCAGCAGTGATGGCCAGGTAACATTTCCTGCCATTTCCTTCATTTCCTCAGGTGTTGTCCCTGGTGATCCCCAGCCAGCTGCAGACAGTGACACAGCAGGCAGTGCACAGGCTCTTCCACACAAGGTATTGCACTTCCATGCCTTTGGCATTCATTTTTACTCTGATTTCTGGTTACTGTTGGGATCTCCTGCCACCACCAGAGCTCTCAGTACTATCCTTAGGTATTCTGTCTCCATTTGGGATGCCTGTCAGGATTCCAGATTCCCTTTGAGGTTTGCCACCCTGCTGTCTCTGCCTCCCTTGCTCGTTGTTAGGAGGGTGGTGCCCTGAAATATTGGAACATATTGACAAACGAAGATAATGTGGCTCAGTAACAGATGTTGGTCACACTGGTGGGATCCTGCATCCCCACAGGAATTAGCACAGCCTCTGTGGCAGCTGCAGATGGAGTCAGACAGACTCTGTCTCCATCCTCGCCCTCAAATCCCATTAGTGTGGGTGTCCAGGTGGCTGAGGGGGAAGCTGCTGGCAGCCTGCTGGATTCAGGTGCATTTTGTGTGTCTGTAAACTCTGTGCCTCAGGAAGGATTTAAATACCTTTTCTCTGGGCACAGCAGCTCGCTGTGACAGTGACTGCTGTAGATCTGCAGCTGTGTTGTGGGTGCTGGGGTGGTTTTGTGCCTGCTCTGCTGATGCTCTGCTCTAACACAGCCTGAGACAGAGAGGTGGCACTGCCAGAGGTGCTGGGGGCACTGGGATTCTCCACATACTCTGGAACTGGTGCTCACTGCCCACCTCCTGCCACCCTTATTGCCTACAGCTGGTTATATTATTGCAGAGTTTTAAAGATTATTTTCTTTGCTTTCAGAGTAGCAAATGTCTTCTGGCAGAATGTTCTGTGGCCTATTGCTGTGGCATATTTTGTCAGCAGCAAGTGATTATAGGACTTTGTACTGACAGGGAAAAAATCCAAAGTACATGTGAATAAAGCAGGGAATTTAGCTGACATATTTAGAGGAGCATATGTGGGAAGAAGAGAAGGAGAAGCCAGTGGATGGAGAAAACACTATTAATATGCAATCCAAGCTGGCCTGAAAACCTAAAAGAGGTGTCTCCTTGCATTTGGAAAGTCTTTGATCACCTCTGAGTGTACTTGACCTGTTAATCAGGATGCTGAGTATTAACCAGACTGTCCCCTTTCCTCGGCAGGAGCTGTTTGTTTGTGGTCCTGCACGTAGCCCTGCAGGCTGCAGTGTTTGGGGAGTACACCTGGGAGGTGTTTGTGTACTGCTGGGAGCTGCAGTTCCACCTGCTCCCGCTGCTCCTGCCCTACCTGCTGCTGGCTGCCAACCTGGGCTGCTTCCTGCTCTGCTCCCGGGCCAACCCTGGTGAGATCACACCCCTGCCCTTTGAAAACAGAAAAGAAAATTGCTACAAATCCCATGGTTTGGTTCTTTTTCTGGTCTCTTTGGCAGGTACAGTGACACAATCCAACGCTGCATCCCTGGCTAAGGTTTATGCCTATGATGGGGTGTTGTTCCAGAGAGGCCTCGTGTGTCCCACCTGCACCCTGGAGAAACCAGCCAGGTCCAAGCACTGCAGTAAGGATCTGAAATTCCTTGATAACCGTGGCAGTAAGAGCTTCCCAAAGGAATTGTCCCCCAGGAGCTGCAGTTCCCACTACAGCTGTTCTGTTCCCAGCTCAGTGCTCACAGGGCTGGGTTTGTTTTCCTGGGGTCCCAGGTCACAGCTGCATTTGCCCATCCCTGGAGCTTGTTGGGTGCTGTTTCTTCTCACAGAAATTACCAGTTCTGAGGGATAATTCAGGGTCAGGAACAGCTGAGCTTGTGAGCAGCTGGAATTGAAATTAAAACTTGTCACCTGTCAGGAGCTCAGATCAGGATTTTCTGTTTCATAGTCACAGAACCCTGTAATGGTTCGGGCTGGGAGGGATCTTTAAGGGCCATCTCATGTCACCCCCTGCCAGGGCAGGGACACCTTCCCCTAGCCCAGGGTGCTCCGAGCCCTGCCAGCCTGACCTGGAGCACTGCCAGGGATGAGAAGTCCACCACTGCTTTTTATCATCTAAAATAAAGGTGGGAGCTCCAATCTCTGCCTTTCAGGTGCTTTGCCAGGCAGTAGTGTCAGAGAAACCAAAGTCTTGGAGCTGCAGTCTTAGTGAATAAAAGAGGAAATGGAATATGTTGTTTTTCTTAGGATCCGCAATTGAATTTATTTGCTTCAAAAGCTGCCAGCTAAACCCCGACTGCAACTCCCACGTATTTCCAGCTTAAAAAACACCTAAAGATCCAACTGCTTACTTAAAAACCAAGTGCCAAGATCTCAGAATCTCTGCTGCTCAGAGTGACTCTGAGATGTGTACAAGCCTCTTTGTCCCAGCCCGGCAGTCGAAGGAGTCAGGATTCCTCTGTTCTTGTTCTCAAGGTTGTTTATTATTTCTTATCTATAACATTCCTTCTCCAACCTGCCCTAGGTCTGTCTGGCAGGTCGGTTGAGGCACACTGGTGTTATCTTTTATACCTAAAACTACATGTACATTATTTACCATAACTTCCCAATACCCATCACCTATGTTAGACAGTGAGCTTCTACTCTAAACCAATCCAAAAGTGCCAACATCACCCAGAAGATGGAGGCCAAGAAGAAGAAGGAAGAAGGACAGGGTACACCCAAATTCCTCCCTCTTGGGACCCCATGCTAAAAACCTCAAAAACCCGTTTTTCACCCCATGACAAACCATTATTCTACTTAAACTCTCTTGACTTGTAATTCTTCATATAAAGGTGGGAATTTGCTCCACGGGTCAAAGGCCCAGGGGTCTTGGGCTCTGTGCCAAGGCCTCGGAGCCCCCAGGCAGGGGCTGGAGCCACGCAGGGCACTCAGAGGAATTTCCTGGGTTCTGACACCGGGGCTCTTGCTTTGCCCCTGCCTCCTGGAGGCGTGTGCAGGACGTGTGTGCACCGCTTTGACCACCACTGTGTGTGGGTGAACAACTGCATCGGCGCCGGCAACGCGGGCGTGTTCCTGCTCTACCTGCTGTCCCTGGCGGCCACCGCCGCCGCCGTGGCTGCTGTCACCGCCGCCCTCCTCCTCCAGGTGCTGCTGCTCTCCAACGCCATGCACGGCACCTACCTGGATGCCCAGGGGCAGGAGCAGCCCGTGGGGATCGCCCTCCTTGTTCAGGTCAGTGCTGGACAATGTCCTGGCTTGCACTTTGCTGTCAGGAGCCACCTCCTGTTCCCCCAGCACGGAGACAGACTGCAGGGTTTGGGAACAGACTGCAAGGTTTGGGGCAGACTGCAGGGTTTGGGGGACAGACTGCAGGGTTTGGGGCAGACTGCAGGGTTTGGGGACAAACTGCAGGATTTTGGGGCAGACTGCAGGGTTTGGGGACAGACTGCAGGGTTTGGGACAGACTGCAGGGTTTGGGACAGACTGCAGGGTTTGGGACAGACTGCAGGGTTTTGGGGACAGACTGCAGGGTTTGGGGACAGACTGCAGGGTTTTAGCTGTTTTATACATATAACTAGATTTAGAAAACTGCCACTGCTGCATACTTTAGAAATGGGGTTTTTTCTCACAGCACTTCCCATCCCACAGGTTCCTGTCTCCAGGATCTGCCACTCGGCAGATCTGGTTCATAGAGAAGGAATTTCCATTCCAGTGACTAGCTGATATAGGGAAGTTTAGGAAACAGCTGAGAGTCCCTGAGGTACCTTGTGGAGGTGCTAAAGCAGGACACCCCCCTGGAATGCAGATACAGTTCCACCTGCCCATGGATGTGCTGTTCCAGCTGGGGCTGTGCAGTGCCCGTGGGATTCAACCCTCCTCCATTTTAACTTCTCTCTTTCTCTGCAGCACCTTTTCTTGACTTTCCCTAGGATTGTCTTCATGCTGGGGTTTGTCATCCTGCTCACACTGGTCCTGGGGGGATACTGCTCTTTCAGTCTGTATTTGGCCCTCACCAACCAGACCACCAACGAATGGTGCAAATCTCGAAGATTTGGGGGCTCCCCCCATCTCCCCTCGCAGCCTCGTGACAGACCCCTTGTCTATAAAAACATCTATTCCAAAGGGATCTGGAGGAATTTAAAGGAAATCTTTAGCCCTCCTACCGTGTTGGAAAGGAAGAAGAAAACATGAAGATACTCTTGTTTCTTTGGGCATTTATTTTCTAAGACTTTAGTTCAGCAGTGGGCTTGGCTGCCCCAGGCAGACTGTGGAACAAGATTCTGGAACTGCAGGTTTGGAACTGATTTGGAACAAGATTACTGCAGAATTCACATATTGGTGCCCCAGCAGAGCATCACTGGAGCTCCCTCCCTCAGGGAGACTCAGGGCCAGCTCAGTCCTGGCCCCTGAACACAGGGATTTGATTCATCTTCCCAAAGTGAATCTTTCTCTCTGGGAAGGGCTAGCACAGAGCTCCTGTGAATTTTGAGGAAGCAGCATCTTTCTGTATCTTTCTCTGGGAAACAATTAACCCATGACTGTTAACAATTACTACAACAGGTTGTGTGTATTGAGCTGAAAGAACGATTTCTGCCAGGATCTTACCTGCAGAATCCATGTCCTACTGCAGCTTTGGAGCACTAACTTCAGGAAAGAAATTAAAGTGTCCCTGTTCACCTCTCCTTCCAGAAATTCTTCCGAGTATAATAGAAGAGAAATTGGAAAAAAAAAAGTAGTAAGAACTTTAAATAATTTTATTTTTAAAAATGTATTTATTTACATGCCAAATCTGTACAATATGCAATCAAAAATCTGTATATGGTTAAAAAAACCAAATTCCTATACAATATGGCTTTCCAGCCCCCAGGCTGGCTCTCAGAGCAGCCTGGCTGGCATTGCAGGGTAGAATGATGCATTCACAGACCAGTACATAAGGCTACTTGTCCAGGATACCAAAGAAAAGAGAAATACTGCAGTACCGTGCCTTGGGAGGCCTGAAGGAGTGAGGTTAAAGGCATGAGAGTGTTTCAGTGGTGCTCAACACACACCACAACTCCTTAGGTTTGGTTTTCTCAACTTCTTTTAAATGCATATATTTCAATAATCCCTTGTGAGACCCCCACATACTTGCTACACTTTCTGAATCCTTTTAAAAACCAGAGCACTGCTGTCCCAATGACAGGCAGAGGGGGCTGATTCCCAAAGGATCTTCCTTGATTTGAGGCTGCTGTACAGAATACTGAGTGCCACTTGTGACCTGTCAGTCTCCTCGGGGTGACCAGGCCAAGGGTTTAACTCCTGGAATTGGTTTTACACTGAGAACACCTTGGGCCTGTCCCGTCCTATCCTGTTTTAGACCCGCACTATCCCGTTTTAGACCTGTCCTATCCCATTTCAGGCCTATCCTGTTTCAGACCTGTCCTATCCCGTTTTAGACCTGCACTCTCCCCTTTTGGGGGCCTGCGCTGGCCCCTGAGCGTTCCCCTGGCTCTGCGAGCAGCCCCAGCGCCCGGGCGTGCAGCTCCCTCCCTCACACGATCACGGTCTGCACCTCCACGTCTCCCTCCTGCGCGGCGATGACGAACTCCCCGGCGTGCTCCATGATCTCGATGTCCTCGGAGGCCACCATGGTGACGGTGGCCTCCTGCGCGGCCAGGCCGCCGTCGGTGGCCAGCACGGTGCCGTCGCCGATGGCCGAGGCCAGGGTCATGGCCACCTGCTCGGTGAGGCTCTCGGGCGTGGCGATGGTGATGGTGTCGGCGGCGTCGGCGGCCGCGCCGCCCTCGGCCACGGTGACATTCTGCACAATGATCTGGTGGCCCGAGTTGGCCTGGTTCACGATCTGCTGCACCACCTTCATGATGTGGCTGTCCACCTGCCGGGGGACAGGGGCTGCAGTGACACTGCTGCATTGACTGACAGGAGCAGCTCCAGCTGCTCACCCCACAAACACACTCTGCCATGTGTCACCCCTCCTGTCACCCAAGGACTGCCTTACCTCATGTCTTGTTCCCTCTATTATTTCAGTAGCTTCACTGGTCTCCATGTCTTCGGTAGAAGTCTGGAAGACAAAATAAGATTATTCCCTTTTGAGGTTCTTACAAAAAGAATTTTATCACCAAGATGTAATTCACTTTTACACAAGCCTTTGTGTTCCCCTCGCATGCAGTAGCTACTCCAAAGACAACTCCTTGACATTCCCTCCCAATCCCATTATCAGGAACTACTTAAAATGAATGCACAATGTTCACAAATAACTGAAAGAGAAAGTCCTCCCTCAGCAGGATTTGGCCACGCAGCAGATTTTTCTCCTACTGGAGAATCTCCTACAGCACTCAATAACTGAGCTGTGTTACCCTGCTGGGATGAGAACTGGCTCTGTGTGACAGAGGGGAGACAGTGAAATGCAGAATTCATTGCTTTTGGCAGCCTCTGTTAGAAACAACAGAGATTATCTGGGACAAAGTAAGATAAATAGAAATGGGAGAAAATAGGAGGGAAAGCTGAAGCAAGTTTGTGAGGACTTAAAATCTGGTGTGGTCAGAAGTTCTCAGGCTCAGCCTCCTGGCACACACAGCACATTGGGAGGGTGGGGAAGCTCCAAGTGCTCTCCTTCCAAACAAGGCTGATCCCACTGGCTCCTGGGGCCATGCAGGCAGGGCAGAGCCTGTTCCACCTTCTCCCAAAAGCCTGGAGCAGGAATGTGAACAACTGCAGAGTTTTCCCTGACCAAGCCTGTGCTCAGTTCCCAGAGAGCAGGCTGGCTGCCCCTTCTCACCTCGATGATGTACTCCTGGGTGTCTGCCACCACTGAGGAGAACTCCACCAGAACTGTGTGTGGGTCTTCTGAAAGGACTGTGGCTGCCAAGTTGTCAGCAGACTGACTCTCCTCTGACACCATCACTTCTTCCACATCCTTCATAGCAAGGAGGCAGCCACCTGCATGGAATTCCAGAAAAACATCATTTTTTGTGTCCATCTCCAGTAGCAGCTGGAAGGTGCTAAGCAGCAGCAGCAAGGGGATGCCATGGATGAGTGACCAGTGCCACCTGAGGGGCTCCTGGCCCACCAGGACAAGCCAAGGAACAGCCCAGGAGAGTCCCTGTGACACCAGGAGCAGAGCAGCTCTCCAGTGCAACTCCCAACACCATGTGGGTAAATGCAGGTGGTAAAACCACTCAGGGTTTTTAAGCCATGTGCGAAGAACATACAGGAAGAATTTGGGTATATTTTAAATCATTGATCTTTTCTGCTGATACATCTCAATATCTCCTACAAAAGTCCATTTTTTCCTCCAGTAAACTTCTATTATTCCTTTGGAATAACACCGTCAGCACTGCTGAAGAAGTCTGGAAATCCCTGCTTAGGAGCTAAAGGAGCAGCAAGCCCAGTGCAACTAATCCCACCAAACCAGATTATTGGTCAGAACTTTACCCAGACATTTCCTTCCCAGCACATGCCCACTCCCATGTGAGTCATTAGATCCACAGAATTCATGGCATGACCAGGTTGAGAGACCTTAAAGATCATGGAGTCCAACCCAGCCCCAACACCTCAACTAAACCCTGGCACCCAGTGCCACATCCAGGGATGGTGACTCCACCACCTCCCAGGCAGACCATTCCATTACTTTCTGTAAAAACCTTTTTCCTAATATCCAACCTGTACTTCCCTTGGTGCAGCTTGAGACTGTGTCCTCTGGCTCTGTCGGTGGCTGGGATCCACCCTCAGCACCATTCCCAGCCTGGCCAGCTCAAGCCCAGGGCAGCCCAGCCGTGCTCACCTTTGGTTCTGAGGTGCCTGTTGAGGGTGCCGTGCTCGGCGAAGCCGCGGCCGCACTTGTAGCACTTGAAGGGCTTCTCGCCGGTGTGGTGGCGGATGTGGCGCACCAGGGAGCCCTTCTCCCGGAAGCCCCGGCTGCAGAACTGGCACACATAAGGTTTATCCTCCAGGTGGGTACGGAAATGCACCTGCTGGGCATTCTGCACGCACAGGGAGGCAAGGCAAGCGCTCAGAGAGGACACGGCCAACTCACGGACGCGGGGTTTTGCTGCCAGCGTGCAACTCAACGTCTTTTATAGGAGGATTTTCCTGGGTGGTGGTTTAGGAATGGTACTTCCCAAGCCAGTGTTCACACCAGGACTCACCAAATTTATGAGGCACTCACTTGCTCCCCCTCTCCCTCTCCCCCTCCCCTTGCAGTGGGCTGGAGAGGAGAATTGGAGGCACAAAAGGTGACGATCATGGACTGAGATAAGAACAATTTACAGAAACACAAGTAAGATAAAAAACCACTACTGATGACAGAGGGTACAAGAAAGAGGTGAGCAACTGACCTGCCCTGATAATAGACAGAAGGAACCCCTTTCCCCCACACTAGAATGTTCTGGCCATGCACCCTCCTGGCTACTGCAAAAATTAACCTCATCCTGGCCAGAACTGGGACACTGTTATTACATATTTGTTCCACACATGAAGGAACAGTTTCTTCAGAAATGTGATGGTTTTACAAAGACCGTCCTTCTTTTGCCCACTAAACCAAAACATCTTTCTGGAGTTTCAGTTCACAGAATCACTGAATGGTTTAGGTTGGAAAGAACCTTAAGGAACAGCTTGTTTGACCCCCCTGCCATGGGCAGGGACACCTTTCACTATCCCAGGTTGCTCTAAGCACTGTCCAACATGGCCTTGGACACTTGCAAGGATGGAGCAGCCACAGCTTCTCTGGGCTATAAGAGACAGGTGAGCTCTTTGAGGAGCAAAGCCTCCTGCCCTCTGCCAAAGCCTGGTGTCACAGACATATTTTATGAAAAATCCTTTCGTTAGATCTTTTCTCCTGAGAAGCCTCAGAAATGAAATGTAAACAATAATTATCTGCTGCTGTGGAATGCAACAGGTGAATCTTTGATTGGTCTCACGTGGTTGTTTTTAATTAATGGCCAATCACAGTCCAGCTGTCTCGGACTCTCTGGTCAGTCACAAGATTTTATTGTCATTCCTTTCTTTTCTATTCCTTGCTAGCCTTCTGATGAAATCCTGTGTTCTACTCTTTTAGTATAGTTTTAGTATATAATTTTCTTCTAATATAATATTTATCATAAAATAATAAATCAGCCTTCTGAACACGGAGTCAAGACTCTCATCTCTTCCCTCGTCCTGGGACCGCTGCAAACACAACCACAGAGGAGCAGCCACACTTCCCTGAGCTCCTAGAGGAGCAAAGCCTCCTGCCCTGTGCCACAGCCTGGCTCTGGGGGGGCCGTGAGGAGGTTGGTGAGGGGGGCCCACCTTTGTCTTGTAGCGCTTGCCGCACTTGGGGCAGGCGTAGGGCCGCTCGTCCGAGTGCACGCGCCGGTGCCCCTTGACGTGGGCTATGGTCTTGTAGAGCTTGCCGCACTCCCCGCAGCGGAAGCGCCGCTCGTTCACGTGCACCTCCTGGTGCTTCTTCAGCAGGTAGCCCTTGGTGAACTCCTTGCCACACTCCTCGCACTTGAAAGGTTTGTACTCTAGAGGGACACGGAGAAAAAGGTGTGGTTGATCCAGGGCAACCTGCAGCACAAGGAGCTGGTACGGGTGGAACTGAATTGTCACAAAAAGCACAACCTGGAGAAGGGGAGGAATTGTATTGTCAAGCACGTGCGTGGGCTTTCACAGAACCCCAAAACAGCTGGGGTGGGAAGGGACCTCTGGGGATCATCCAGTGCAGCCCCCTGGCCAGGCAGGGTCACCTGGAGCAGGTGACACAGGAACGTGTCCAGGTGGGTTTGGGAGACATCCAACCTTCAACCAGG